AATACAAATATTTTTTATAGAGCCATAAATACATAATATTTAAAATAAATGAAAACTTGTACTCACGGTCTTGCCATCGAAGTTGTGATTGGCGTCGGGCAGGCAAATTGGACGCATGTTTCCGGTCAGTGGGACAGGGGACTCCAGTTGCAGCAGGGCCACGTCGTTGACAATCTTGTTGGGATCGTAGTTCGGATGGACAGTGGACTTCACCACCTTGCGCACAATACCAGGATCCCGGGAGGATCTGTCGATCTGGAGCAGCCGAACGGTGATCTGATCCTTATTTCCGTACATACAATGGGCAGCGGTCAGCACATAGCGATCGTTGATCAGGGTACCACCGCAGAAGAGACGGGGATAGTGACGACCCTTGACCAGCTGGGCGGTCCACGGATATTTGTTGGAGCGAACCTGCTGTCCACCCACAATTCGGTTGACATTCGGGGTGCCGCAGACTGGTAAATGAAATTAAAGGAAAATGATTAAATATTTTAAGTTAGTTTTTTAAAGCACGAAAAAACAAAAGTTTTCATTGATATTTAAATTTATATGATTATTGTTATTGTCCAAATTTGTATTATATACATATATTTTGTTCATAATATAGATCCCGAAAAATGGCAAAATTTAAATCCAATATATCGGAATTTAAAAAATATTACTGTTAGACTGATGTATCCGAAAAACTTTCTGAAGTATTTTTAAAACCATATGAAACAATAATAATAGAAAACCTACAAGCTACAATGATAGTAAATTGGTCAATATTATTCTATTTTAAAGATACCACTATTTACTTTATAAACAGTTTAAATAAATAAATCTTAATGAAGACTATAATAGTAAATGAGATTCCTCAAAGCTAACAAAGACTTCTAAACAGGATACCTAAATTATTTCTCTACAGGGTTTTTTTTGTACTCACAGCAGTTCTGCTTGGTGGTGCACTGGTTGCGATTCTTCACTGGTCGAGCTTTCAGGGCCTTCTCCGCAGGATCGGAGACGTCGACGACATCGGCGAACTGCTGGGCCAGGGTTTGGTGGGGGGCCTGGTACTGGTACTGGGCCAGGGTGAGGCTGATGCCCAGCAGCAGGAGCGGCAGGGCCAGGTGACTACGCATCTTGTCCGGAGTTTACTTCTGAGGAAAGTGACAGAGTGGTTTGCCAAACGCCGGCTACTTATAGGCCCCCAACGATGGGAGATCGCGATCAACGCGATCGCTTTTTTAATAAAACTAAAAATATGAATGTTTTATTGCTTGTATAAGCAGCGTGCGCATCTTTCTTTCCTTTCCTCCTCTTTCTTTCTCCGCTTTCTTTGTTTGGCAGCGCCTTATTTGCATAACACTTTATAGCGCCGCACACACGCTCACCTTGCGGTTCTCAAGTGTGGAGGGCTTTGTATTTTTGGCTCTGTACAAATCATCATTTTCATCCAGAACAACTTGCCAAAAGGGCAAATAAACTTTTAATATCACTTAAATTATACACTTACGGAAGGTTTTTAAAAGTGTAATGCGAAAAAAGTGGGTTATTGGGAATGATCGAATGGGGAAATTCAATTATTTGTTGTAGGATAAAACTGAAACCAGCAAGATCATCCAATGACTGGTCTTATTTTCTTGGGAGGGTTATACAAACTGTTACATGTGTTTTGGTAATATTTCTTTGTTATTTGGAAAGGGACACAAACTATTTTTTAAATTGGCTTAAAATCATTCATAAATTAAAAAAACGTATCTTCTAAAGTACTTTCCACATTACATCCCTCATAAACATTTTTTAATTGACTTATAACCAAAAGAGGGTACAATTCTTCTCAGATTTTAATAAATTAAGAATCATACCGAGAAATCAGCTTTTATTATATAACATTTAAAGGAAGCCTTTACTAGATTTATATCATTAAAAACTTATGCTTTACTTACAATTTTTTATCAAAATTAAAAGGGGTCTACCTAAGAGTATTTATAATTCGCCTGACTTTTGTAAGATTTTCCCTTATAGCTTTGCATATTCATGAAAGTGGAGCAAACTCAAGCGAGTTCACCACTTTTCGGCCCGCCACCCGTCGCTTTTTTTAATGGACTTTTAATGCGCATCTGGAGAGGCTTAGGCATCGTCATCGACAGCGCCTCTGACCCGACGGATCTGGCCAAAATAAACTCGGGCGCTGAGTTGGCGGATTCTGGCTGGCCCACTCGAGTGTCTCTTTCACCTCATTCGCGGCACTCGATCGCATTGCGATCTGACCGGCAGTGCAGCATAAATATCCTTTAAGTGCCGGTTATCCGGTATCATCATTAACCGGAGGCAAACGCCCGCTTTCACGCTGCTGCAGCCGGGAATAATTTATAAGGCTTTGCGATGTGGATGTGGGGTTTTGCTTTTCGGCATAATTTACAAAACGCAACCAGAACCAGGGACAAGTTATTCCTCCAGCTCCTGCTGCCGGCTCCTCGATCATATTTCTTTGTGTGGAATGTCGTCGTCGTCGCCCTCTTTTCATTATTCCCCAACTTGGATTGGCTTCGAAATTGATTCGCCTGCGGGCCCAGTGTCGTCCATCCAAACGCCCAAAAAATATAAATTAATAAAAGCAGCGCGTTGAAAAATTGCGTGCTGCTTGAAATTATGCAACATGTGGCACTTACATTCATGCTGCACATGCTCTTCAAAAATAACATATGCAAGAACACAAATGGGTATGGAATAAATTGTGTTGAGATTTAGGGACAGTGACCCAATATTTAAGACATAAATCTGCCAAAAACCCATTAAAAATGATAGATTTAGTTACTGTCCCAGAAATATGTAAAATCGGTCAGATACACATATCTAAATCGCCAAAAGCTAATAGCCTAATATTTACATTAACAGATTAATTTATTATGGCTTGTTTCGTTTGGCTTCCCCACATAAATAACTTTTACTCTTATGCAAACCTTGAGCTCATGCAAATTTAGGCAGCTTTAGAAATTTGTTTCTCTTCGCGAAATTAGCATAATTTATAAAAGCCCGATCTTGTAGTGCCACAAACTTGGCCCAGACTCATTAGTTAAAAGCACAGCTTAATCATAGAAAGCATCAGAGATATGCAAATGCAACTCGCATCTAATTGTTGCAATTGTAATTGCCAGAAAACAGAACAATGAAAAGATTGCAGATTTCAACAGGGTCATTATGCTTTCAGCAGGCGAAATTCCACAATTCTTCCCCCCGACCTCCGGGGGGCGTGGTTGAGTGACAAACACGCAGCAGGAATCGCTTATAGAGATGCAGATCATTGAACCAAGCGGCTGACTGGAGAACAAAGCAAAAGACCGAGGATGCCAAACTCTAACCCAAGTTAGAAAGGTTGAACGGCATGCCATTCACTTGCTTTTCGCCCGGTGGCAGTTGCCCGTCAGAGTCACTCAGTCAGTCACTCATAAATTTGCATAAGAACTGAATTGCATTGCATTATCTAAGCGGCAGTTGCAGTTGCAACTTGCAGCTTGCAGTTGCTGCTGCAGTTGCTGCTGCAGTTGCTGCTGCAGTTGCTGCTGCAGTTGCTGCTGCAGTTGTTGCCGCACTTATCTCGGCGGTGGAAACAATCACGGCAAAGGCAAAGATTTTAATTATTGTGTGTGACGGCGACGACGACTCCAGCTGGGAAGAAGTCGGAGAAAGATGTCGAGTGAGAATAAGAGAGCGCCCAGAATTGCTTCTACACTATAAAAAAAAGGGACTATAAGACTACAAGAAGTTTAAATTTAAAAAGTCAAAATCAAATACTACAAAGTAAGAAATATATTTCCTAAAGTTATCTCCATTTTATCACCCTTTTTTTTAAAAAAAAAAATGGTGTCTAAAAATACACTTAAATATATATGCAATTGAACTTTAAAATATAAGTACATTCAATCTAATTAAGATTACACAGTTTGAACTAGTGAACGTTAGGTACTTAAATACTATTTATAAGTCAGAAGATTTATTATTTATTTTTTAAACTTAATTATCTGTTTTTAAAAGTTTTTTAAGTTAACCAAACATAAATATTTTCTCTGAGCTTTCATCTATTATCTTAATCAAATAGTTCTAAAACTAAGAAAAATTTTTTTTGAGTGCAGTCGGGCAGACATCTGTCTTTGAATTCTCAGACTGACTCTGAGTCTGCTCTGTTGGTTCGCCTGATGTGCTGCATTTGATAACTGCCAGCAATGAAGTCTTAGACCCTTAGATAATGAAAAGGAAGCTGGTCTTGAGCCTGGTGCACTGTAATTCAAATTAGTACCAGGCCGACTTGGAAACTAAAGAATAGAAGAGAGGAGAAGGGAAGTGCGGTCTGCAAGAATCGTCTTCGGCTACCGGAGAATCGGCCCCTGCAGTGCCAACTGGCAACATCTTCTTCCTCAATGACATTAATTCATTTCGTATGCAAAGCAATCAGTGAACTCCTCTCCTCGAGAACCCGCTCGTCGGCTTGGCAATTAGAAAAGAGTTGGAAAATTGTATGCGGCTCCAGCTCGGACTGCGACTTCGTCTGGCTGGGGTCTGACTTTTCCGGCTGGCACTGCGCACTGATTTGCATTGCACGATTCTCAACTTAATTTAACATAAAGTAAACAAGCGCAGTTAACAAGCCAAATACAAGCCATGAGCGTGCGGGTGCCGGCCGCAGCATCCAGCATCAGCTACAGCTTCAGCCTCAGCTTCAGGTTGAGAATCAGATTCAGATTCTGACTGGGCAACCTCTCCATCTGCATTTCCCAATCCCTCAGCCTGCCAAGGGCCTCACTCCCAGTCCGACAGTCCCCATCCACGTATGCCCTCCCCTTCTGGGGCTGCTGTCGTGTGACGTGTTGTGAAAATTCGAAAATATTTCGCCCCTGCCGGCCCAGCTTTCTCACAAGTCAACGCCAAACGCGAGACACTTTAAAAGCGCACAGTGGTCGCAGGGTCTACACAAAATAATGGTTACCGAACTAGAAAAATTTGGCAAATAAAAAGAATTCCTTTTCATATACATTCCAGTCTTTTATACAGCCTAGAACATTACTTATTATTGGTTTTTGAAGGAAACATTGATAGAACCTTTCGGAATTTCATCCGATTTTTAATTGCGGCCTTTGCGTCCTTTCTTACCAAATATTATTTCATTTATATTGATATTCACGGGTTGAGGTGAAGGCCAGCGTGCGGGTGGAGGTAAGTTTGGATGTGAGAATGAGGGAATCGCCGGTCTTGGTGGAATCCCACCTGGGGGTAATCCTGATGGTGTGAATGGGGATTAAGGTATTATGTCCTCCAGGAACCATTATTATCGGTACTTACCAAATGGTGGATATTTTCCATTTGGTGGATGTGGAAAGCTTGGATAGGTTCCGTTTGGTGGATACCCAGGGAACGTTCCTGGTGTGAATGGGGATTAAGGTATTATGTCCTCCAGGAACCATTATTATGGGTACTTACCAAATGGTGGATATTTTCCATTTGGTGGATGTGGAAAGCTTGGATAGGTTCCGTTTGGTGGATACCCAGGGAACGTTCCTGGTGTGAATGGGGATTAAGGTATTATGTCCTCCAGGAACCATTATTATGGGTACTTACCAAATGGTGGATATTTTCCATTTGGTGGATGTGGAAAGCTTGGATAGGTTCCGTTTGGTGGATACCCAGGGAAAGTTCCTTTCGGTGGGTAGTTTGGAATCGCTCCATTCGGTGGAAAGTTTGGAATCGCTCCATTCGGTGGAAAGTTTGGAATCGCTCCATTCGGTGGATAGTTTGGAATCGCTCCATTTGGTGGGTAGTGTGGATACTTTCCGTTTGATGGATGCCATGGATATGCAGGGTACGGATAAGGATAGGGATATGGATATGGAACAAGCAAAGGATTTGGAGTTGGAGGAGCAGTAGTAGGTGAAGGACGGGGACGGGGAGGCGCAACAGTGGGCACGAAGTCAGGTATATAGGCAAAATGATCAAAGGGCGATCTGACTTTTATAACGTCCTGATTAAATACATTTTTTTTCAAATAAAATAAATGAATTTAAATAAAGTTATTATTAAAACTAGTGTTAACTCGCACTTACCGATGAATCATTTTTATCAAGACTGTGCTTACGTGGCACTAGTACAAAAATAACTACTACCAAAAGATTCCACTTGGACATTTCGTGTAGTTGCTGGTATGGCAAAATCTACAATAAAACCAGTAATCTCTTATTTCACCATGCTTTGATTTCTTACCGCATCTAATTTGTAAAATGTTAATCAATTATTAACGTCTAATTATATTGTTAAGCTTGTACTCGATCGTTCATCCTTATCCATAAATTTAAAAAGTTTTATATTTTTCCCTTATCAAAGTAATAAAAAACGCAAATTATCGGACACAGTAATTATCTTTATTTTAGAAAATTGTGCTCCTGGTGGTGCCAGGGATATTATTAAGCTGTTTTAATATTAAATATATTTTGATTCTCCAGTGGAGATAAATTCTCGCCTGGCTGTGCGGGTAAACCAGAAGGTGAGTTTGGAGGAGCCATCGGTCCAGGTGGTTTCCAACCGGAGGGTGCAGGAAATTTAGGCGGTGGGTATGGATTGATTCCATTTTGTCCCCAAGGGTTCCATGGGTTTGGATTTTTTCCGTTTGGTGGATAGTTTCCGTTTGGTGGATAGCTTCCTTTTGGCGGATAGTTTCCGTTTGGTGGGAATTGAGGATACATTGGATATGGGTAGGGATAATACACATACTTAATTATGGGTGCAGCTGCAGGATTAGAAAAAGGTTGAGTTTTTGAATTAGAATTGGGTTTAGGTGTAGGTTTTGGGCAAGGAGTGTCAGTCATTAGTTTCGATAGCAATTATCTAGCTCGTCTAACTCACTTTTATATTTCAATCTCCCATCATTATTATTTTTGGCCTTGTTGCTGCTGAATGTTTCCGAATTGGGTACTTCCTTTGGCAACTTTGAATCGATCTGAGTCGGTAAATTGGAGTAGAAAAGTTATTTTATCAACTTGAATAAATACACTTAAGTTGATCTTACAGAAGGAGTTTTATTTTCAAGTCCTTGACTGGTTGGCCATATGAAAAAAAGTATAATAACATGGTTCCACTTCCACATTTCGTGCTATCATTCCAATTACTAAAACTGAAATGACAGAAAATAAATTTAATTGGGAACCATGAAAAATTGAATGTTCCACTGAGTTACTAGTATTGCCCCTTAAATTTCGTGCATGAAATTTAAAATTGTTAGGATTAAAACGTAGGAATGTTAAACCCTGAAAAATCAGCATCTTTATTATTTGTCTCATTTATACTTGTTGATCTGTATGCACATGATTTATTTTGCTGCTGAGAATTCTAATACTTTTTGAGGCAACTTTGACCACTGTGCAGCGATCTTGAAGAGTTTATTAAAAGCCACGACAACAGCGGCCGTTCCTACACAAAATCCTTTGTAAGGTAATTGCTCATTTGAGTTATAAACACGCACACGCTGTTGGGCACCGCATAACCCCCAGATCCCACAAATCCCCCAGATCCCCCAGATCCCTGATCCCGAGATGGCAATCGGGGCTGCCCAGAAAGGGCTGTGCCGTGGATTGTGGCCATCGTTCCCGCTTTGCATGTCTAACAATTGTTCTTCTAATTGCGTTTATGGCCAGGCGAGAGAACTGGCCGGACGCAGTCCACCCGGGGCCCCGAATCCCCGATCCCCGATCTCCTGCCCCTCCAGTGCCTTGTAAACGCAATCGGACAAGATAATCTCGGCTTCGCAGCGTGCGCAATGATTTGCCGGGGCCCCAAAAAGGGCTTACCCCATGGCCATGGTCCCACCACATCCTCTCCAGGCTGCCGACTGGAGTCCTCCTCTCCAAACTCCCACCGCTTCTATGTGGCGTGGCATGCGGCTTGCATTTGGGTGCAACAAATTGCCGCAACGCATCTGCCAGACACTGAATTGAGTTGAGTCCCTCAAATTGGCATTGGCACTGGCATTGGTAGTGGCATTGGGGGAGAAATGCGTTACATATCGCATTTATGGGCTGCTTATTAAGTGGTGCAACAAATTGACAGCTCCAAAGAGCCTCCAGAGCAGTTTCAACATCAATTACCAACAGCAATTCGCAGAAGAAACCAAATGGCGATAGCCGACCAACACTTCATTAAAAGTAAATAAGGTGTCCATGAGATATTGTGATAAGTCGGCGAACGAGGGTGTTGTTCTGCCCATGGACAACGTGGCAACGAAGAGTTGATAGGCCCTTCAGTTGCACCTATTGACTAGAAATACTTTGAAGCTTGGAGATTAGCAGCTTATCCAGATTGCTTCAGCTGGGTCTTTGAGAAATTTGAGCTCTAAAATGGTCAAAGAGGATCATGTATTAGGGACGAAAAAGATATTTTGATGAGAAAAAGGATTTAATATTCGACTGCTATATAATATTTAAAATAGTTGCCCTTTGAGTGAATATCTTTGCATTGTTCAAATAAAGGAGAGAATGGTTTGATGAAATAAATGTCTATCAAAAATGATATAAGCGTAGTGACCTTTCTAAGTAAATTATATTTCAATAAAATAAGTAATCAATATATGGATACTATTTCAATTAATACTTGCACATATTTACTTGGTTACATATCCATATAAAATAGTATAAATTCAGTGAATTACCCCTTAGTTTTTAAGAAGTTGCCTTGTTCTTTGGAGTTATCTGAAATCCGAATGCCGTGGTATGTAGAAGTAGCGCAGTATCATCTCATGCTCACCTATGAAAGCCCTCGACAGTTCCTAAGCCCCAGGAAAAGGTAGAGGTAAAGGCAGCAAATAGTTCGTGCAATTGCCAGTTATGGCCGAGAGTGCAAAAAAAAGGCGCGCGTCAAATGCTGCAATGGAAAAAGACAAGGCGAATAGCCTCCAGATGTGGACCGCAGGTTACAATAACAATCTGCCAGGGAACGAAAGGGGTGTGAGGTGTGACGGGGTGTGTGGTGTGTAGTGAGTAGTGTGTGTGTGGAAAATTGAAGCCCAGCTCGCTCTCTAATGATAACTGCTGGAACTTTAAAGGCGCGAGATTGCGGAAATTTCGCGACTGCCAGCGGATGGCTCTGCGGTTCTGGAACTTCACAACGACAACGACGACAAGTGTCAAGTGAAGCTTAGATAAATTTCAAAAAGGGCAACAACATGGGCCGGTCCGTGAGGAGGAAGCAGGCGACGATTACTTGCCAGCTGGCGGGCAAGAGATACACGTTTAAAAAAATGGCATATAGAAGTTCTGAAATCGACATACAAGAAAAGCCCCAATAATTAAAAAAAAATATTTTTGAAAAATGTTAGTTGTACTTAAGAAATGTTTTTTCTTTTCGAAATATTTCTATAAAAGTTGAAATATATTTTATTATTTGAGAAACTCAGTTCAGCTCAGACAAAATTGAACAAAAAATGGTAAATATATTGACAATCTTTAAAAACAACTTGACCTTATTGTACTATTTTCTCCTTAAAAAAATTAAAATAAACAAATCCCATGAACAAAATCGTATAAAACAAAAAAGTTAAATATTTACCAAGACAATTTCAATGAAAGTTCTCAAATTCTAAATGCATTATACAAAACGTTTCTTAATGGTAAAGTGTTATTGAATTTTAAAATTAGGTCCTTAAATTTAGTTTGTCTGAAAAACTTCAAGAAAAAAGGTTTCTAATGTTAACTAGCTAAGGTGGCTAAATAAAGGGAAACTGTCTTTAAAAGTTAAGTTCAAATTTTTAGAGTTACATATTTTTGTTGAGTGTTGGGTTGAAGTGTCTTTAAATGAAATGAAATGGCCGGAGACGAAGGCCAGGCCTCACCTTGCCATGCCGCACAAGTAGCCAGCAGGCAGGCAGAGTTGCATCCTCTGGCCTCATCCTCATCCTCCTCCAAATCGACTGAGTGGCATGCCATGACTGCCTCCGCTTCCTGCTTGTTCTGCTCGTATTTGAACTTCCAGACACGCTTTTGGCCCTTAACATTTTTGACCGTCATTTTGCCGATATAAATTCTTCAGCATCTCTTCGACTGCTGATGCTGCTATGTTTCTGTTCTTTTTTTCTTCATTTTTTTCTTTCTTTTTGGTGGAGAGGGAAACCGCTTCGGGTTGCACTTTCTTCGTCGTGCCAGCAAAAGTGTAGATCAGCGCGAAATCTAATTTATGCAATGTACAAGAACATACAACATGTTGCACGATGATGAAAATGCGGCAGCCAGCCGGCAATATTTTTTATTAAAAAACACAAAACAAAAGAAAGAGAAGCGACAGGGAAGAAGCAAGAGCAGCGGCAAGACAATCGAGCAACGACAACAACGACGCATGTTTTATGACTCTCATTGTCATTTATGCAAATTAGGAAACGGCAATGGCTCAGGAGGAGCTGCTGCAGCAAGAGCAGCCAAAGCCGCAGATCCATGGCCACTTCTAAGCAACGGCGCAAATTTCCCACCAATCCCAGCCGGTTGCCTCGTGGCCTGAACTTTTTGTGTCATGGCCTAGGAGCAGGAGGAGGCAGCAGGATCCCCAACCCGAGCCCTGCTCCGATGATTATGAGCAACATGTTTTATGATATCTGGCGGTGATTTATTATCATTTGATTTAAAAAGCAGTGGACAGGACACACATCAATACATGTGGCTGGTCATAGTCTCGTGGAGACATGGCGTTATTTATAGTTTTGCCCGGGACCTGGCCACCACCAGGCGAGGCACCACGATGAGGTTGGGGCACCAGGTTCCCGGTTCCCGATTCCAGGTTGCAGGTTCCACGTTCCTAGCTGCATTTCATGCTTATTATAGAAATGTGCGCTTTTATGAGTGCGCCCAGCATGTTAAAGGTGGAGAGAGCCTTTTGGCGATTTTAATTAGCCAGCCAGCCGGCTGATCTTATTCCGCCATGAGAACCGCTGGGCAGCTAATTAGTTACACGCTGCGATCGCATTTGGAACAGTTACAGTTGCTTAGTGGGTACTTCTAATTAGCTCGAGGGGAGCCCAGGTATCCAGAACCCAGATATCCAGTCTAGACTGAAAATCATTACAGCCTCGTCTGCAGCTGGCCTTAAAATCGGGTCGATAATGGCTAAGAAAGTGGAGGGAATCTTAGCAATTAACTAAGAAGTATTGCCATATGAGAGAGATTTTGTATTGTGACTTTATAGGGTATAATTGTTTATTCAGTGAATTAAAAAAACGCTGCATACTTTCCGGATTAAGGGGAATAAAGTGTGATTCTCTAAAATGTTTAATATAATGACAAGAGAGTAAATATCTTATATATATGTTATATGAGTTAATTAAAAACTTTTAAGAACAACTTTATTTAGATGTATTTGCATTTAATGATGGCTCCCTAGTCTGGTTTACGATGTCCATTATCACCTGAGGGCACCTATTTTTAATGTTTGCTAGGACTGGAAATCGTTTTGAAGAAACTATTCGAATGCAGCTTTTCAAATCAATGAAACAACTAAATCTACCAGTCAGTCTACATTTTTATGCACTTTTTTGCTGGCTCGATTTTACGACCTTTTCAGGGCTTGTCCAGCCTTTTTTTCGCTTTTTTATGGCCCCTAACATAACAGCTAATACGTGGTCGACTGGCACTCATTAGGCCGTTGATTAGTCAGGATTTGCCCAGCTTGGATAGCCAAAGGGTCCATTATGACCGGCTCAGGATCAGCTGGAGACGTGGTAATCCCAACATAGGAATTTGAAATCTTTTTCCAGCTCCAGTTGAAATATTGATTCCATGTACACTGCAATTGCGCCTTGGATATCACAGTTCCGTTTACATATATTACCGCTAACCAATTACACGGATTTCACAATCAGTGACGACATCATTGAAATCGCCTACGTGCCGGGTTATCTAGCATCATCCCACTCTGAAGTTGATGTGCTCATCTTCTTGGCGTTGATACACGCCACTAAAAATAGATTCCCTTGATGCTGTATTTACTGTGTTTGCTTAATTTGCTTTAATAATTTATTACCTACCTTTACATACAATCTTTAACGATGCACTTGCCACAAGTGGGTAGGGTGAGAAGACTCTGTGATGCGCCAATCAATTACTTACTGAGAAAAA